TACTTACTCAATTCATTACTCTCAATAGCTAAGTACAAAACCACTCTCTCTCTGCTCTAATCAGAGTTCCAAACATCAAATTTAACGTCGCCAAAATGATGCAATCTCTCATTCCAATAGTCGACCAATCGGTTAGTATTACATTCACACGAAATTCTTTTTGGTTATCACAAGTAAAGCTTTGATGTCACATTATCCTCATTAGGAATCTAAAACATTCACTCATTTTTGGTTTGTGAAAGGTTGTGGAGAAGACTATACGGCCATGCTTGGTTGAGCTAAGTGAAGACCCAGACGTTGATGTTCGGTTTTTTGCAAATGAAGCTCTCCAATCTATCGACAATGTGATGATGTCTAGCTAAAAATAACATTCTGTGTTTTGTTTTGTGTGTGTTAGAAAGAGTTCATGAGGTTTTTGTAACGATACTTAAAACACTTTTTGAGTTCTCTTTACTTTGCACATAAAGTGACCAAACAGAGATTGTCCATTGTACCTCTCTGCTACTAAATGTTGGCTTCATGTTTTTGTGATTTCTTGGCCTTTTTTTCACAATCCATTGTAATTTGAGGATTGAGGACAGTTGCAATAATGATTCTTTATGTGCACAAAAGAAATATATATAAATTGCAAATTAATTTCTAATAGTGAAAAATTCCAAATCATATATTCTTATCACACCCGAGGTCAGTAAATTTTTATGTCAAAGCCTATGGGCTTTTTATATTCCAACGTAGTGCAGATAACTCGAAGACTATTTTTTTATCAAAAGTCAACACAAAACCTTGCCGAAGAAGGAAACAGAATCATTTACAGGAGAAAATTTTGACCTACGAAGCGATCGAAACTCTCTCGAAAACTTCAAAATCTTCTTCACATATATTACTATAATATGTTGATCAAAAGGCCACATTGAAGTTTTCAGTTTTCGATTAGTATTATTTTCTTTTTTTGTTATTAATGAATTTCACCACTCTTACACACTTTGCTCGCTATTTCAAATAAATCCCAAGAAATTTCCTATTCAACTTTCTATTTGATCTTTCACAGTTTGACTCACATTAGGATTAGGAAACCAAAAAAACAAAAACAAAAAAATCCTAAAACTCGAAGAAATTGCATTTTCTAAATAAATCTCTGAATTTTTTTTTGTATTCCTTCTGGTTTCCAGTTACGTAATCAAGCGTTTG